AAAAATGAAACTTCATTTGTGACATTGACAACCTATATGAAAAAACGAAAAAAAATAATTTTATATTATTATAGAAATTTTTTGATGTAAACTAGAAATTTTTTAAAAAAGTTTTGCACATTTGTTTTTAATGTATCTGATCAGTCCAACCCAAACCAACCTGTTATTTTTCGATTTGGTTCGGTTAGGGTTTTGTCGAAAAAATGTAAAAATTCAATCCAAACCGATCCATGTATTTTTATCGGTTTGTGCATCAGATTCTCTTAAAACAGAATCAAACCGGCTCGTGAACACCCATATTGTTTTTGCTAAAACATCAAAGGGTTGACTTCCCGGTTTCGAATCCAGGAGAATCTTAAACGATTGATTATTATGTCTGTAATGAATAGGAGGTTAATGACCACCATTGTTAGCGGTCCAACGTTTCTGATAAACTCCCTTCTTTTTATGTTATTAATCATTTCCTCCCTTTTTTTGGTCTCAGGGTATGCGTATATATATTGCTAGACCTTTCACCCTCCATGGATACAGAAGAGACTACCATTTAGTTGGTTTGATGGCCATAATGGGCGTAATCGTCTATTAATCGTTTGTAACAGAATCCATAAGTACCCATAACCGTATCAGTTACTAATAGTTATGTAACGCTTTTAATCAATAACGATTTTTATTTAATCGACCTCTTGCACGAAACATACCCATAGTCGACTTCTCTTAATTCGAGGAATAACCCGAAAATGTACATAGACTATGACATGCTCATAGATGCCTGATGTATGATTGCCGGTGAAATGATCTTTAGAAGTTGTCCGATTTTATAAAAAATTCGAGAATATCCACCTTTCATTTTTGTATTGCTTCCGATCCCCTGGTAAAGTAATTTTATAGGCTTTTAATTTTTGTAATAACTTATCTATTTTAATTTACATTGTTTTCAATTTGACCATATCTATTTCTACTACCAAAGCAACATGTTAGAATGAGCTGTGACCACACTTATTACTTCTTCTTTTGAGTATACACAAGACGTGTTCTAGTTCTAGTGTTATTTGTTATCTCTAAACATCGCTTCAAAATCTACCAACTTCCACACACATCATTTACGGTTATGGCTTCAATTTTGTCCTTTTCCGTTCCTTCTCTTGCTCTCCCAAAATCTCAATCTCAATCTCAGGTACTCTCACTCTACTTCTATTTTCACTTTCATCTTCAATTTCCGCACTCTTTCGATTACCGATAATTATCATTTCTTTCAGGATCCCGATTCTTCTTGCTCCGGTGAGTTTTCATATTTAACGGTTCTTTAATTCGATTAATTTTTCTTCTCCCGGTTTTCTAACCGTTTTTTCAGGTAAAAGGAACGATAAGAGTGGTAGTTGTTGTTTCCCGCCATCGTTTGAACGGAGAAAGATGATTCTCTCTTCCGTCGCTGTTATCGCTGGAAGCTTTTGCAAAGGCGGAGTTTCTCTTGCTTCTGAATTTGCTGACAGTAATTTTCTCTATAAATAAACTTTAACTTCTCAGTTTTTTGTGTTGCCTTTGTTGAATTTGCATTTGCAGACATTATACTTGTTTGAATTGAATTATTTTAGTATGTAAAGTGGCGTGAATTTTTTCGAGTGTTTGGTGGATCTTTAAAGATCAACTTATTTTCATAAGCTCTCCCGAATAAACTCTCTATAATAGCTTACAAAAATAATTGTAGATTATACAAAAATAATTTACCTTTATTTTATAATTTATTATCTTTATAAGTTGTTATTTTACGAAATTATTTAGTATAGTGGAGTATTTGTCTATAGTGGAACTATACTAAAACAATAGTTAAAATCATATCCTATTAGGTGGAGTCGGTTACATGATCAAATTACGCCATAATGTTTTTGTCCAATCCTTAAACCTCGAGAACTTTCTTAATAGTTTCTTTTATAGTGTTTTAGGTCTTTCTCTTCCTCTAGTTATTTGACTCCTCTCCTTCTCATTTACTCTCCTTACAATAGATTCTAGAGGTATTCTCTCTACATGACAAAAGCACTCAAGTCTATTTTCCACCATCATTTCTACTATAGAAACTACGTCAACATTCTCTCTAATATTGTCCTTTCTAATCTTATATCGTCTAGTCATTCCAATTATCCAATGCAACATCCTCATCTCATCTCTTCTGTGCTATACTTCCTTTATTTTTGTGTTGATTCTTAACGGCCCAACATTCGGTCTTGTACAAGATCGCGGGTCTTACCTATGTCTTATAAAAAATTTCCTTCAACTAGAATTTGATGGTTTACATCCCCTTATATTTCTCCATTGTTTTGAACTACGAACACAAGATATTTAAACCACGTGATTTGTGGGATGATATCATCTCCAACTTTCACCTCTGGTTAGAAACCCTTCTCCTTTTGTTGAAATTACGTTCCATATACTCCGTCTTACTTCTGCTTAGGTGAAAGTCATGCGCTTCTAAGACTCGTCTCCAAGTCCTCAGTTTTTTATTTAAACTCTCCTTCCACTTTCCAAGAAGGACTATATCATAATACATCTCGGTGCTAGCTCTTGGATAACATTAAACATGTTAATTATATATTAGATTTCTAAAACACAAATTGTTTTGAATCAAATTGAAAAGCTAAAACAACCAGAGATATAAGGAATGGAGGGAGCACTATTTATCATTGTCTATGAGATATCATCCATGTTGCAATGCGAGTTTGACCTTGTTAGTTGTAAGTTCAAGAGTCCAAGTTCTAATCTCCTTTGAGACAATTGTAAAGTACGGAAAATATATAACAGTATAACACAGTTCTGAAGAAGGTCATGGTCTCTTAAACGGTGTTTGTGTGTTTGAAACTGAAAGTAGGAGATTGGTTATGTTATGCATGTTGTGAGCAAGAGCAAGTAATGCAGTTGTGTCTTTACTGATGATTAAATTTAGGCTAATTTGAGTTTGTTTTATGATGCACATGATGTTAGTTAGCTACATAGTATATAAAATAAAATAAGAAAAAGAAAACTACAAAGACTTACAATATGATGCATAATCCGTGCATTTACATACAGTGCCGGCACTTAGAGGGAAGGATTATGGTAAATCAAAAATGCGATACCCAGACTACGTAGAAACTGAATCTGGACTACAATATAAGGTGATGCAGTACGTTGTAAAATGTAATGTTTTATGGTTAAGCAAGCTTTGTTTTTAATTAGTTGTAAACAAAAATCTGCAGGACTTGCGACAGGGGACTGGCCCCAAACCGAAGAAAGGAGAGATGGTAGTGGTGAGAGTCTGAATTGTTTTTGCTCTTGGTTTTCTTGTCAATTGGTTCGAAGTCCGATATATATATATATATATTTTTTTTTTTTTTGCATCAATAATCTATATATCTTGATGTACAGATTCTGAATCAAAGTGAACATTATGTCTCGGTTTTTCTTTTATGCTCTAGAATCTACATAAAAAACTTTCTAGGTTTTCTGGAATGATTTTGGGATGGATATAGATTTGACAACTTTCTTAAGAAAATTAGAGTAGCCTGTTTTCTCGTAGGGAACTCTCTCTAGACAATTTAGTTTTCTCTTTAAATTAGATTATTGAAGCAACTTATGAGCTTCAAATTCTGTTCAGGTAGACTGGGATGGCTACACCATAGGTTATTATGGTCGCATATTTGAAGCCCGGAATAAAACGAAAGGTGGTTCCTTTGAGGTATGAAATTCTTTGCATCATCTATTTAGACACGGTGAGTGTAATTGATTATTGCATTACTGTTTTGTTGTTTTTCTAACATGCAGGGCGATGACAAGGCCTTTTTCAAATTCAGAATAGGATCTCAAGAGGTGAGACCTCATTATGTGATGATTGAAATAGTTCCTCGCAACTTCAATAGTATATCTATACACGCTATTCACTCTATTTGTTGGGCTAAGACCCAAACCCTGACCTGACATATGCAGTATGCTTTTTTTATTGAGTCTGGGAGGTCCCAATGACCACCTTTAGGATTCGATCTTTTGGCACATCGTTTTTTCCCTGGCCAAAAGGTGTTATTGTGGGTTTGATACAACTTGTTTTTGTCATATTTGTTTGCAACAGAATTCATCATAAATGTTAGTTCACTAAACTTATTGATGTTAGGTTAAGACCATATTAAGCAATCAAAGTATGCCTCAATTTATGGAGTCTGCATCACTTACTATGAAGCGGGATTTCTCATGTATTTTCAATTTCAGGTGATACCAGCTTTTGAAGAGGCTGTTTCAGGCATGTCTCTGGGAGGCATTCGAAGGTGCAGCGTCTATATTTCTAAAAAATTTGACTTTTAGTATGCATGAGACATGTTATGAGCAAGTCTTTACTTGCTATTGCAATAGCTTGAACTTTTGGGATCATATATTGTTAAGAGATAGAAGAGGAGAGAAATGCAAATTTCACTATGTTTATCAGTGATGCAGGATAATTGTGCCCCCAGAACTTGGATATCCTGAGAATGATTATAATAAAGGTGGCCCAAGACCTATGACATTCTCGGTAAGAGTTGAGTCTCGTCGTGTTCAGCAACTTTGTGAATCAAGTCTGAGAGATGCAATGTAAATTTTCTTTACAGGGCCAACGAGCTTTGGATTTTGTGCTAAAGAACCAAGGGATGATAGACAAGACACTCTTGTTTGATATTGAACTAATGAAGATTATTCCAAACTGATTCGTCAAATTCAACATTGACCCTTGAATACCACCACCAAAACATTGAGGTTAGTTTCTCCGTCATTGCTCATCGGTATATTCATAAGCGTATTTTGTAAAGTCTAAAACTGAATGAATGTCGGTGCAAGACAACAAGTGAACTGATAAAAAAAGTGACTTTTTTTTTATTGTTAGATAATTTTGTAATTGATTCTGTCAGTGCAAATGTCATTAATTGATCCTTCATACTTTGTGAGTATTTTCTGATTATTTTCTTCTTGGTGATGAGAGATCATGATCATCATCTCTTCATTACAGCATGTTGGCCAATTTTAAAGATATTCCGGTACGTAGACTAAATAACACAATGCAAGCAAAAGTTCCTAGATTCATGGAGATATAGAACAACATATAAGTTATCATGCTTGCCGGTTTTTTTCAGATTTGGCGAGCATCTGGAATAACTAGTGAATTACAACTCTATTGTACTGCAAACGGTGCGTTGGTCTTTGCAGCCTTAATGCTTTTTGCTGGTTGGTTTCATTATCACAAAGCTGCTCCAAAATTGGCTTGGTTTCAAGATGTAGAATCCATGTTGAATATGATACTGTATAATCAGCTGCTATACTGTATAATCAACATTTGATGTTTGCCTATGCTACAAGTTGATTGTAATATTCCGGCTATTTTGCTGTTCGTTTATCTGGTAACTAGAACATTTTGTAACTAGAACATCTTTTTGCAATATTTAAGTCCCACTCAGCTATTGGAAACTTGTATTCATTAAGTGTGCATGGGAAGAAACATTATATAATCAATTAGAAATTAGAAAGAGAGTGTAGAAAAGGATCACATGCCACTGCAATGTAACAGCTTTTGTGGCTTACTACCACCTGTTTCAAATCTAATATCTAATTAATTTTTATGTATTTGATTCAAACTTAAGATCAAATATATAGATTTATTTACTTATATTTGAAACCGGAGGAGTATATTTGGTGCTATAATGCAGATAGAGTTTTACTTCCTCAACTTTGATTCAATTTTAGATTAGTTTCCTTTGTCTATTTCAATCTTAGAACGCAATATACAATTGCATGCTCCACAATCTAACAAGAATTGGACCATTGGATCAGAAACCCGATGCTTGTTGAGTTTGACCAACAACTTTTGAATGTCAGTACTAAGTCAAACATCCCCTTCGATGGCATTGAGGAGATCAACTTCAAAAATATTTGCTTTTAGTTGCTGGATCAAGAGATTCACCAAGTCATCTCCTGTGTCAGACAGTGAAGCATCAGAAGAGTGGGAGGATTTAGTTATAGTCAAGAGCTTACAGAGTTTTTGAAGTCTTTTCAAAGCCTCATTCGAGTTCTTCCTTTTAAGGGCATGCATTTCTTCTTGGCTCAAGGAAGTGTTGAATGATGAGTCATGAATGGCAGCTTGGGCTTGATTCTTCTCATTGTTGGTGGGCTAATCTTTCTCTTCTGGAGCAGTTTCGACATTAGGAGTGGTTTGATCTTGTCCATTTTTTCTGGACTCTTGATTTTAGGTTCGTCTTGAGTTAGGTTGTCTTGGACAGAAGTCATGGTGTCGTCCAATTCTTTGTTGTGTTGTGGAGAGAGTTGTTCGATATGAGTCTTTGCTTCAGGGTTTAGTTGTGGAGAGTCACCTGCATTTTCACTAGTTGGTTTGGTTGCTGGATAGATAGACGAAATACTGGAATCAAGAAAATCTGACCAATGAATGTGAGAAAAAGTTTCAGAGGGAATCGAATGGGGGGATACCTGATGATTTTTCCCCCAAGTTCTCGTTCACCTTTGGCATTTCCTGAAATGGAGGAAAAAAGTTAGTCTAAGTTAGAATCGAGAGACATAAAAAAAGGGAGAGAAAAGGGTTGTGATTTGAGTAAAGCAATACATTGGGGTCAATATTTTCTTATTCTTCAACTAGAAGGTCTTGAGGCTTATCATGCGCCTGATCATTAGGAATAGAATAGGTATGTATAATTTTCCTTTTCCTTCGTTAGAAGGACTGACAGTTGAAGTGGTGGTTTCTTTTTTGGATTTTAATTTTTGAGGAGCATCTTTCTTCTTGCTGACACTTGGTTTAGGAGAGACTTTGGGTTTAGAAGGACTGACAGTTGAAGTGGTGGTTTCTTTGATGACGATGACGTTAGCAAAGGAGTTGGAACAATGTTGAAAATACATAATTTTTGAGGAGCATATTTCTTCTTGCTGACACTTGGTTTAGGAGAGACTTTGGGTTTAGAAGGACTGACAGTTGAAGTGGTGGTTTCTTTGATGACGATGACGTTAGCAAAGGAGTTGGAACAATGTTGAAAATACATAAAAAAAAAACATGCCACCTTTCTCTTTTTTTTGATTCAAAATCGAAGCATGACATTTTTTTTTTGGGGGGGGGGGGGGGGGGGGGAATTTGTCATCTCAGATTTTTGACACAAACATTAATTGTAGAGATGAGACAAAAATCATGCAATAATGGTTTTGTTGAAAAGTCGAAATGGTTGGTTATTACCATGTAGTTTTTCAACGAAGTCGATTCGTTGAAAAGTAATGTTAATTATGGTCGAATATTGCAATGAGTAAGAGACCAGGAGGTTTGTTGATTTTGGGACTTAATGAAATTCAGAGTATCTAAGTTGTTTATTCTACACAGTTGAATGAAGTGTAATTGGATAAGATCAGACAATTATTTAAGGATACGTGGAATTGGATAAGATCAGACAATTATTTAGGACTAATATATAAGTAGTTGTTTGCTTATGTTTTAGGGGTCCGCAATTGTACGCAAAATTCTGTAAAACTCAAAGTATTTGTGTTTGTGAGAAAAGAGTCAAAAATGTACGTATATACATTCCACTTTTTACAAATTCAAGTCTTTATTTTAGTTATTTAAATGCATTGAATCATTTTCAGTCATATTTCTTTAATTTTTTTTCTTTCATTTCAATTCCATATTTAATTCTTCCGTTATTATTCCTAATTTCTTACATTTCGACGTGGATGTCAAACTTGTTTAAAATCTATGATTCACACAAATATATCTTGGGATCTTTTCGAGTTTAATCCCTTAAGTAAAATACAACGTGTTCTTGTTTACTAAATTTCACAATAAACAAACCTATTCAGAAAATTAATAAGTTCTTCGTCAGCTTTAGGAAAAACTACTTTCGTGTGCTCTTCATAACTGGCTTCGGCCTCTTTTGTGTCGTCGGTGATATCAACCATCATCGCATTTACAAGCTCGACAAGGAAGGCCTCTTCAACTTTGGGGTCAGCCTCTTCCTCTAGTCGGTGTTTTTACTTGTCTGCAAAATTCAGGCTCCCGTCATTTAATGCATTTTGCATCAGGTCCTTGAAAAGAACACATTGAGAAGTTTTATGACCTAGGAAGTTATGAAATTTACAAAAAAAAAACCTTTTTCTTTCTTTGCTCTAATGGAAGGGTCTTATGCCTTTCAGGGATCACGATTTGACCATCAAAGACTAAGAGATCAAAAAATTCGTCACACTTAGTTACAACAAACGTATAAGTTTTCATGACAAATTTCTTGCTTTTGGGTTCGACGAGATTTTTCCTATTCGAAGGTTTTAGAATTTACATACATAAGGAGGCCCTGACTTTAATTCTGCAACATTAACCTGACTTTCCTCACCTAAATAACTATCTATGTCAAATAAATTTTCTATTTCGTCTAATTCGACGTAGGTTACTTTCTCTTTTTTATGATACTTACTCGACCTGGCTTTTTTAGCCTTTAGACGTTCAACCTATCAAACTATATCTGCTAACGAAGCCATATTTCTTAAGTATTGAGTGTCTAGATTTTTCCTAATGGAATAATCAAGGTCCCCTGCAGCCAATTCGACTAACTCATGTTCAGGCACCTAAGTGAAATACTTTTATTTCATTATCCTAAACCTATTTATGTAGTCATCTATGGTTTCATCCACCTTTCGCCTCACACTGGCCAATTCCTTGAGGCTAATATTAGATTGATCCATATAAAACTGCTCATGGAACACTCTTTCTAGTTGGTTCCAATTAAATATGGAATGTGGAGAAAATGTCGTGAACCATGTAAAGGCATTATTTGTTAAGGAATTTAGGAAGTATTTTATTTTCAGGTTTTTGTTGTTGGCTATATCACCAGCCTCAGCCTGATACCTAGCAACATGTTCGATTGTGGACTCATTGATGTCGTCAACAAATTTGGTGAATTTGGAGACCTTCCATCCCTTGGAAAGTTCAGTGTATCGCACATATTTTGACAGTGGGGATACATAATTGGGCTTATGAAGGCCAATGTTAAGGCTATTTTGAGCCAAAATCTATTCGACCACGTTAGTTATATTGTTTTGCCCCCAAAGTTGTTTCTGTTGGACATTCCTAAGCAACTTGGTCGGCGTTCTGGTCTCTTTGAACTATACCTACCTATGGGCCATTTTGACCCTAGTTGCCTTCGACTATTCTCAGTGTAGGTTGTTCGACAAACACCTAATTATTAGGTAATGACATAACTGGCTCTTGATGCGCACCAAAAAGTAAGCAATTCTACCCATCTGGTGGACCAATTGCTAGTAACTCTCGGTCGTGTTCAAAATTACTGGATGAAACATAATACCTATTTATCGTGTTAACACGTTCACCATATCTTAGTTACTTTCATCCATTTGTTCCCTCACAGACGCAAGAGAATTTGTAGTTAAGGCTGACATTCCTGGAGGAACATATCAAAATCCTCCTTGTGGTGGTGCCATTCGACCAGGGTTGCTTATGGCAAATCGTGACGCCAAATGTGAATTTAGGGGTGACACTATCGTTGCAGCATTGTCTGCAAATGTCGAAGTGTTTTGCACAAAAAGGTCTCACCGGATGTGCCAATTTGTTCGCAGGTATTTTTAGCAAACAATCACGAATTTAATTCACTTGTGAGATTAACTCGAAAATATCGGAAGTAATCTGTGCAAAACAAGTGTACAAGAAAGAGTGTGCATGAAGTAAATGTGAATGTCTATGTTAAAACAAAATGGACACAAATTTTAATAACGAAAAAGCTTGGATTAACGTAATAAATGAAAAGTGCAATAAATAACATTAAATAAAACGAAGCAAATGACATGTAAAGAAAATGTCTCAATTAAGGAAACATAAAGATAACGAAAGAAAAGGGATGCAAACTCATAAGTTGTTTAGTTCTTTGACTCGGGTGCTCTAGTTCTATATAGAAGTATATGAATTTTGCGACCTTGATTACAATGTACCAACATACTATTTATACTAAACTAAAAATAAATGTCTCTTTCAGTTTATTCCTAGAAAACAGACACATATTAAGAACATGTAGCTTAGTCTTCTGAGATGCTACCACATTGTTAAAACTTGCAAACTACTGAAAAATCATTATCCCACGTCCGTAACTGCTCCTAACATATAATTGTCTGCTCGTCGAAGGTAGTTTGTGAAAAACTAGTGTTGAGATAACCTTTCAATTATTTGGATTCTAATTTCTTTTAAGTCTTTGACGTCTGTTGAAAGCTTTGATCTCGACATAGTGTCGAAAGACCAACTAGATATGCTCTTTATATTCTTCCAAGCCATGTTCAAGATCTATTCTTGACA